TTTTTTCAGTAATTTAAAAACAAAAAAAAATTTTCTGATGAAATGTATAAATTTCCCAGGAAAAACAAGTCGGAGTGAGTTACGATAACCTATGACATTTACACAAATTTCGGGTGGGAAACCGGTATGTGAGTGTGTTGAAGGCTTAGAAGTTTGTCGTTGTAGAGAAACAAAATAACCTGAACTAACAATCAAAGTTCATTCATTTTACGGATTTATATATATATAAAAAAAAACTATTTACAAAAATAAGTGTGTGTAAATCTTTTTTTATGTTACATGTTAAGTTGTGTTTAATTTTTTTAGTCTTTTTTTGTTTTCTGTTCTCCTGTTTTATTTATTCCTTTTAATTTTGGGAGGGTGGTGGGTGGGTCCTTGGAGAGTCCTGTTTACTGCCGTTTGTTGAATAGTCAATTCTAACGATCTAGGCTGAGAAAGTTAAAAAGTCGACAAGCTGTGGGTATTTGGCTATAACCTGAGGACTTGAGGTTAGTGCGCACGTCACTGTCAAGGTACATCTTGATGCAGTTCTTTGCAATCATTGGGTCGTCCAGTGACTCTCGACAGCCCAACAAAGGTGGAGTATCGTTGGTTAAAGAACCGTCGGCATTCCCGGTCATATCTCTCCGTCGACTCCTATTCAGTAAGTTTTTCTTCTTTGTCTGTGTCCACGTGAGTTTCACGTTGATAAAAAAAAGACAGTAATAATGTTACAGATCTAATCCTTTACATGTATAAGTTCAATAACACCTTATGTAAGTAGTTTAATACTAAAACTCGTCGAATACAGAAACAACACTTTATATATTTGCCCGTCACAACCAATTTTATCGTGCACGTGGACAGTACCTCTAAATGTATACCTAATATTTTGGGATCATACTTTATATTACAGAAACTATTAGTGATATTGATTCAATATCTACACAGGAGACAATTCTAAAATCTTTAGTCCTGGTCTTAAACTTATTTAATATGTAATTAACTAATAAATTTGAGATGAACATAGAATAGTCAATTAATCAATGTGTTTATGTAAATTGAGAATAAACAAGACCGTCTTTGTCAAAAGACTTTACAAAACCCCTGTGAACATGGAGTAAGTGTGGTTGCGTTGAGGCCCAAGTTCTGAGGCACATCTCGAAAAGGTCAAGTCTTCCGCCAAGAAGCCAAAATCGAGGCGTAGAAAAGTGTAGGCGGGTCTCAGGATGACCGCGACGCAGTAACGCAGTAGCCAAACGGCAGTCTGCCATTGGCAACGCAACGTTTGGCGCGCCTTTGGGAGTGTCGAGTGTGGCTGTGTTGTTGTTACCGGCTACACAACTTCGCGATGAGCAAAAACCCAAAACGAGACAGCTTTTGCTTTACCTTCTTTCCTTGCTGAAATGTTTGGTTGACAATGTCAGCAATGAACGATGTAATTTTTTACGAAATGTGTGTATTAGTAGTATAAGTTGCTGCTAAGGCTAAGGGGGACGGGGGCGGGAGCTACATTCGCACACCTCATATGCCACCAAAACGAGATCGGCCTTTTTTTACACCAGAACTTTGCTTGGTCTTAGGCCTCATTTCTCCGACGGGCGACGCCACACTTGTCCCTTTGGGACACGAAAAGTTTCGAGGTCGAGGCTATGGACGGGACCCTTGTGGCAACCCACACTTACTCATAGCCTACCCTAGGGAAAATAATACTATTATCGGAAATAGTAAATTGGTCTGTCGTAACAACATGAACAACTTTGACAAATGGACGGTACACACACCACATCATAAGGAAAACAATACTATTATCCGATTCGGTCCATCATAACACCTGAGTTCACATGTTACATTTATCCTGAGTCTATGAACAACGTAACCCTGTGGCACCTTCCCCCACCCAGCTACGTAAGGCAAATAATACTATTATCCGATTCCGTCCATCATAACACACTGAGTTCACATGTCTACATTTATCCTGAGTCTATGAACAACGTAACCCCTGTGGACCTTCCCCCAACACCGTACGTAAGGAAAAATATACTATTATACCGATTCGGTCCTGTTATACTGTGAACAGGGTGGTGGGATAGATAAGGAATCATTAGATAATGTTATAATTATTCCGTATACATTAATAACTAAGGTATAAATATTTAGGTAAGTCCTTACGGTAGGTCGTGTTCTCTCCAGGACCGAAGTCACACCGTCCTACACTACGGTAGGTTTTTCCTCTTTACTAAAACTCTACCTTAGTCTCCTGCACTGTGACGATACTCACTTCTTGTCCGTCCTACTTCTACGGACACCTGTTCCACTGTTTCTTTTGGTTAGTTGGACTACCTGGCGGGTCGGTAACTAATTACACTGTAGCTCGGGTTGGTTTATTTGTGTGGTTCCGGGACCTGTCCATAGCCGACCGATTTTTTATAAAATAGTCAGAGCTTATGACAAAAAAGACCAGGTCTATGGTGTCTCCTTCAGTATGTCCGTGTGTTTTGTTGCGTTCGTCGTTCACACTGCAGTGCAGACACGAAAAGGCTACTGTCCTTGACAAAAACCCTGATGGTAACGTAATAATAAATTATTTACTGGATAAGTATTTTATATACTGCTACACACCCTAATAATAAGTACGAGATATGACTATATCCATTCAATTCGTTAGTTAGGACCGTTTAATTGGGAATCACAAGTTATACTAAATAAGTCTGTTACACTCATCTTTATGTCCTTTAAGACGAGGGTGGATCCGGTTTAGCAAACTTATAATGTTGTAAAGGGATTTTTTAATGGTTTCGCATTTTTTTAACCTTTTTGGAGAAATTAAAGACGAGGTTCTCCAGGGATGTTATTGTAGACTTTTCAGTCGTGTTTTTGTGACTAGGATGTAAAGGTACTGATTTTACCCCAGTAAAAACAAATAGAGTTGTGTAGTTCAACAAACTTCTTCTATGGCTTAACAAACGTCGAAAGTAATGTTGTAAAATTACAACCGGGGGCCTTACAGGGTTAACCTGTTCCTGGAAGAGCTCAAAAACTAAGATAAAAACCTCATTGAGCGAGGTAAGTGTAATCTCGGAACCTTGTTAGCAAGTAGATAAGAAAGCACTGAAGGAACAAAGATCATCTTTTCGTCACTTGTCTCTGCAACCCTCAACCATCTGAGAAAGTTGAAGAATTCCTCTCCCGGGGTTTCCTCCCGCTCTGTTTCATATCTGAAGTTTTATGGGGGGAGGTTATACTTGTCTTATATACAAATTAGGGGGTTTTAGGGGTTTTCGGGGTCTGGTTGTTGCTGTGCAGCCCAATGAGCTGTGAGTCTGGTTCTGAGCTGCACAAAAAAAGCGATCACAATCTGTGTGTGTGTGTGTGTGTGTGTGTGTGTGTGTGTGTGTGTGTGTGTGTGTGTGTGTGTGTGTGTGCCCCTCCCATCTGTTAAACATTGTACAGGGATCTCTCACCACTTTCACACACGTCAACATATTTGTGTGCGTGTTTGTTTGTGTGTGTGTGTGTGCGTTTGTGTGTGTGTGTGTCTAGTAAAAGAAGGCGGTTCCTGCTGCCTCCTCCTTTTACTACACACATCCACACACACACACACACACCCCCTTCGTCTTTCTCAGTGTTACTTGCTCGCAGGGCAGCTGTAGATGGACGCTGAGCTGCACAGAAATCAGCATTTCCCCTATTTCCTGCTTTTTTCTTTGTGTTTTTAAAAAAAAGTTTGATTGATTATTTTTCACACTGTACTGAATCAGGATGAACACCAACGACTTCAAATCCAACGTGCAGTCCAGTCTGCAGAGGGCAAAGGACATGAGCGATGAGGAGAAGCTGTACAGATACAAAGGGGTGCTGTACCCGCAGCTTCTCTCCCCCGAACGGAACCTCAAGGCTCTGGAGAACTTCAAGGCCCGAGAGGAGGACATCGTGCTGGTGGCATACCCCAAGTGTGGTGAGTGACTCTACAAGGGAATAGGGGGAACACATTATTAATATATATCGTTAGGAAACTTCCCTGGTTCATTCATTACATTGAGAGAAATATTTTTTGTATGACAAGTTTTCTGAAATCTTATGTTTAAATATGCAAATGCAGCATTTTGTTGTTAAAATTGTGCTCATTTGCATACAATTGCTGAATAGAAATGTGAAAATTGGATAAAGCCGTGTTCAAAGTTCTTGTTTTGTTTTGTCCACATGACTCCAACCTGTTTACAGTTTTGGATATGTCTTCATATTACTCAGAATATAATGTCATGAGCCATGAAACATGCATTTTCAGCCTGTTTTTAGTAGTAAAATGCTCTATAAATCAGGCTTTGAATGACATGTGAACAAAGCCTGTTGTTACAGTAAAAGGTTCAGAATATAGAGAGGAATTACACTGAAAGGTTGGTGTGTGTAAGTGTTACCGAAGTGGAGACTTCTGCTGAGAGAGGAGGAGAAAACGGCCTTTAAAGGTAATATTTTTTAAAATGCATATATTTTGTACACACTACAGGTGAATAGGGTAACAAATGTAACTAGTATACAGTATATCACCATGAAAACCTCCCCAGTTTCTAACTTACATTAACACAATTATTGTATGTATTATAACCTTTCTGAAATGTTTAGTTTGATATGCAATGTGTGATCATTTTAGTTGTATAAAGCCAATTTTTTACATATTAAAGAGGGGATTCCAGATTTCTCTTTTACTCCATGACGTTAAGACAATTAGGTTTTGTAATTCAGGAACAAATCTGGACTCATTTGGGTGAAGTTCTCTCATTGGCTCATTGATGAACCTCTTACTTCTGCAAAAACAGAAAATCAACATTTTTTAATCTCATGTTTTTATTAACCTAAGTATTCAATACAAAATAAACTGAGGTTTGCAGCCCTGTAAGACTTTAACATCCACTTATATCCAAGTCAAACCATAGACTGGTGAGAGTATTTTTGATTTTGCAAGTACATTATTTAGGTATTTAAATTGTTTAATGAACTGTGCTTTGAAAATGTAATTCAACATTTTTGGTAAATACATTTATTGGATCAGATAGATTTAAACTTCATGTCGGTCAGGATGCAGTTATCATAGACTAGAAGCGGGGGGGAAACCTGGCTCTGCCTAAACGCTCTCTGATGAATCCCTTTGTTTAATCTGCAAACAGATAATTAAAAACTGTTTTAATGGGGGTTGTGTTGGTCTGCGGTTGCCACAACAAAATCAGAGCAGGTTTTCTACTTAAGGAAATAGACTGTTGTGTGATGTCGAGAGCAACAGGAAGCTTAGGTTCTTCTGTGGTTAAAAGGAAAAAAAGTCCTGTGTTTCCTAATTTACACTTGAGTTGATAAGTTGTTGCACATGCTGTGCCTAAATCTCACCAAACAAGATGAACAGGACAACCCGTCAGGGCAGTTTTAGTGCAGAGAAAAGTACTGAAGTAAGCTTCTTACGGATTGTACCTCAGAAGCTGCTCGGATTTCCCTCCTCATTTTATTGGCGGCAACAAGGACAAATAAGCTGCAACACCCCGAATACTTTCTTAAGGAGAAATGTGCTTCAGTTGCGAAGTCAAATAAAAAAACACATAAGGAAATCTCACGTCATGTTTTCAGTTTTGGTGGCAGTTCTTTCTGTTTGTCTAGAAGTCTTCTCATCAGGGCTCTATAAATAGAGAACTACGGCAGTAATATTTAATGCAGCCGAACCGTGTATTACAATGCCGTTATGTGATGACTTTCAAAGAGAAAAGCAAGCACACTCGGAACAAAGTATTATTTTATTTTTAAAAAATGTTTTCGGATTTCACATCACATAAACACCATTTCCCAACGTGCATTGCGGCTAAACCATCCAATCATCGAGCTGAGGATCTTGCCTACGTCTGTTTCCGGTATTGTTTATGACGGATGTATTTTGTTATACACACAGTCCTTCACATTTAAATTTACATTAAAGTATTTTGTGAGGGCTTCTAACGTGTTTTTAAATATAACTACGGTTCTAGTTGAAGAGTTTATAAATTAACATGAAGCCAAGTTGTTGCCTGGCAATGCAATCACACAACGTCACGTCCGTTAATTCCACAACCGCACACTTGGATTAACATCGATTTAATATTAATGTAGCCTTTGTTTCTGCTAAAAGAGGTGTCGACCAGCTGGGGAAACAAGAAAATCGGCGAAATCGAGTGTGACTATTAATAAATAAATCATTATTATATTAATATTGACAATAACAACCGACCGTCGTGGTAACATTTGCTTGGCATTTCCGGTTATTTATCCACTGGTTGGTCCATGTTAACAATACCGTGTAACTGTCACGTTTGAAGGGACGAAATCGTGACATCTTCACGTCTCCCAGCATGGCATATCGTCACATGTTCACGTCTTGCCGTGATACCGGGTTGGTCTCATGGCAGTGGACAGCTGGGACTGTTTTAGAAACACTTGTTGGTGCATTCAAGGAGGCAAGGCAAGGCAATTTTATTTATATAGCACCTTTCAGCACACGACAATTCAAACAAAAGACATTTAAGAATAAATACAGCATAAACACATTATTAAATGGCATTTAAAAACAGGCATAAAAAAGCAAAGATAATGAAATAAATAAATAAACACAGCAGGTACAGAATACATGAATAAAAGGCATACTAGCAGTGTGAG